TAAGAAGTCTAGGGGTCCCCAAGGAGAGAGGGGTCTGGAATTCTCAAGGATGAAGAAAGGACAAATTTTCTTCCTATACATTCCTTAGGATTATATAACAATAATGTATCCTGCCTGAGGACAGTCTCTGGATTAAACCTTCTGGCTAATCCTGTTATCTTAAAACAAAAATTATGGGAGTAAGTCTGGTCTTTACAAGGATTATATAACAATAATGCATGGTGCCTGAGGACAGTCTCTGGATTAAACCTTGTTGCTAATCCTGTTATTTTAAAATGTAAATTATGGGAGTAGGTCTGGTGAAAGTGAAAGTGAAGTCACTCTGTCCTGTCTGAGTCTTTGCAACCCCAAGGCTTGGAGCCCACCAGGCTCCTCCGTCCCTGGGATTCTCGTCCATGGGATTCTCCAGGCAAGAATACTGGAGTGGGTTGCCATTTCCTTCTCCAGGAGATCTTCCTTGCCAAGGGATCGAACCCAGCTCTCCCGCATTGCGGGCAGATGCTTTAACCTCTGAGCCCCCAGGGAAGCCCAAGGTCTGGTGAGGTCTTTACAACCTCCAGACGTTCTTTGGATTCATTGGAGAGTATATAACTCCATTGCTAACACTAGCAAGGGGGTACTCTTTCTACCCCCTTCTGATGTCTATGTCAGAAGCTTTCTCTATCTCCTTTATACTTTAATAGAACTTTATTACACAAAAGCTCTGAGCGATCAAGCCTCGTCTCTGGCCCCGGATTGAATTCTTCTCCTCAGGAGGCCAAGAATCNACTTATTTACAAAACAGAAATGGATTTATAGATCTCGAAATGACACATATGGTTTCCAAAGAGAAAACATGGGGAGAAGTGATAAATGAGGAATTTGGGATTGACGTATACACACTGTGGTACATAAAATAGATAATCAACAAAGACCTACCATGGAGCACAGGGAACTCAATATTCTGAAGTGACCTACGTGGGAGAAGAGCCTGAAAATGAATGGCTGTGTGGGTATGCATAGCTGAGTCACCTTGCCGTGCACCTGAAACTAGCACAATATTTTAGAACAACTGCACTCCAATAGTTAAAAAAAAAAAAAAAAAAAAAGAGAAGGTATTATTACTTCACAGAATTCTCATGAAAAGAATGAAATCAAAGCATTTTATAGGGGGGTTTCCTGGTGGCCTAGTGGTTCGGATTCTGGGCTTTCACTGCTAGGACCTGTGTTTGATCCCTGATTGGGGAATTGATAACCCCCCAGGTGTGCAGCCAAATAAAAGTATGATGCCAACAGATACTGTTATGAGCTTTCCTGATGGCTCAGATGGTAAAGAATCCACCTGCAATGCAGGAGACCTGGGTTCGATCCCTGGGTTGGGAAGATCCCCTGGAGGAGGGTACGGAAACCCACTCCAGTATTCTGGCCTGGAGAATCCCATAAACAGAGGCGCCTGGTGGGCTACAGCCCATGGGGTCCCAAAGAGTCGGACACGACTGAATGACTAGGCACAGCACATTGTTATGTGTATAAAGACATCTTGTTCATTCTTCACAACACATGTTGCTAATAAAGAGGCTCAATTTTTATATGATGGTGCAGTTACATTCTAGATCCTATTTATTTTCCATTTCTAATAGTCCTATTTTATTAAGCCCAATGATTTTTAATTCTGCTATCAAAAGTAAGTCAACTGTTACTCCGATTATAAATGCATGTTTCAAACTATCACCTTGATTACAAATGGGAGACTTGCATGCTGCAATATGAAATACGTTATATATATATTTTAAATCGGAGTAGAGTTGTTTACAGCAACATGGCCATGTTAGTTTCTGCAGTACTGCAAAGTGGATCAGTCACATATACATATATCCGCTTTTTTGGACTTCCTCTCTATCTAGGTCATCATAGACCACTGAGTCGAGTTTCCTCTGCTATGCATAGGTTCTCATTTTATCCATTAATACTTACCTTTCATATTTTGAAGAGAGAGTTCTGATAGTATTAATAGAAAGTAGAATGGCAGAATTTTTATAGAGAAACCAAGACTACGGGTACCCTATTTTATTACTTTTAAGCTACGCACAACATTCAGTAGTTGCCTGTCAAGATAGCAAGTTTATACTGTTTACTGTATAAGTTTAAACTGTTATACTGTTTATAGCAAGTTTATACTGAGCCTGAAAAATCTTTGCATGTGACATTTAACTACAAAGCATTGGAACTGTTTTTAAGTATATCTAAAGCATTGACACAAGAAACCCTATTTTCTTTCCAAGTTGTTATCTTGAAAGACTATAAACTGACTCTTGTGATGTCACAGTTCAAACATTTTAATGTTATTGATCAGCTTTTTAAAAATTCTAACTCTTTTTATCCTGGATACTGATGCATCCAAGGTGAGCATCTTTCCTATTATTTACATTTCTGGATTGTCATCGGCTAGAGTCTGTGGCTAGAACTGTGGTTTTTGGCTAGTTAGGAGTCACTTCATATGTTAAAATAGCTTTAAGCTGGCGGGGGTGGGGCACAGTGGGGGGAAGAAGAGGGTGGGATAATATGAGAGAATAGCGTTGAAACCTATACATTACCACATGTAAAACTGATAGCCAGTGGAAGTTCAATATATGTGGCTTGGAACCCAAAGCCAGTACTGTGACGACCTTGGGGGGTGGAATGGGAAGGGCAATGGAAGGGAAGTTCAAGAGGGAGGGGACATGTGTATACCTATGACTGATTCATGTTGATGTATGACAAAAGCCATCATAATATTGTAATTATCCTCTAGTTTTAAAAAGTAAAATTAAAAATAAAACAGCTTTAAGGGACTTCCGTGGTAGTCCAGTAGCTAAGACTTTGCACTCCAAATGCAGGGGGCCCAGGTTCAATCCCTGGTCAGGGAACTAGATCCTGTATGCTGCCACTAAAGATCCTGTGTGCTGCAACCAAGACCTGGTGCAGCCAAGTGTTTAAAAGGAAAAAGGTTTTTAAAAATAGCTTTAAAAGATTTTTACCTTCAACCCCTGAAAGATCTGTTGTTCTTTGTGATTGGTTCTTTCATTACGTACCGAAGTGACGCAGTGCATGAAGTTTCCAGGTTTGCCTCAAAGTCTGCTTCTTACCCACAGGCAACTTTCAGAGTTTACCAAGTGAGCATCACAGGACGAGGGAAACTCCACTCTCAGCACCTGCTCGTGGCACTGATGCTCCCTTTCTTAAGGAAAAACCCAGCATTCCACCCACCCCAAGGCAGGGCAGTCAGAGCCGGGAAGGGCTTTGAGGAAATAGGGTGGGGTGTGGGAAGAGTCTTTGGTCTATTGTGACCTGGCCTCCACAGCTGAACTTCTGGGACTTTCTGACTCATAGCTTGGAAGGATCAGGGGAAAGCACTTGTCACATGGAGCAGAACAGCTGCTTCCTGCTTAGCAGTTTTTGAGTGGAATATCTAATTTCATCTTTGTAACATACTTGAATATAAGAAGGCATGAAATGCCACTATGAAAACAGCCCTTTCATTGTAAAAAAAAAAAAAAAGGTAAACCCTAATATTCAAAGAAGATAAGGTCTTGGTTTCTTTCTTCTATTTTATTAAAGATTATTAACAGAAGAATGGAAGTTTAAGTGTTATTCGCTCGGTCGTGTCCAACCCTTCATGACCCCGTGGTTGTACTCCACCAGGCTCCTCTGTCCATGGAATCCTCCAGGCAAGAATATTGGAGTGGGTAGCCATTCCTTTCTTCAGGGAATCTTCCCAACCCAGGGGTTGAACCCAGGTCTCCTGCATTGCAGGCAGATTCTTTACCAGCTGAGCCGCCGGGGAAGCCCTTATAAACATGCATTTTTTCTCAGAAGTTAATAGCTATTAATTAATAGCAGCTCTATCAGTCTACAAGAAAGTTATGCAGTAACAATAATGAATATAGTACTTAGCATGTGCCAGGCACTATCCTAAGTACTTTTACATATTTAGTCATTTACTTCTTCGAACAACTCTAGGAGGTGGGTCCTATCATATCCATTTTACAGATAAGGAAAAAGGCACAAGTCATATGGCTGGTGTGTGGCAAAGTCATGATTTAAACCCAGAGAGTGCAGTCCTGAATCTGTGTTCTTTTCTGCTATGCCACAGTTGGACAGTTACTGAAGAGCAGGAAGAAAAACTCTTGCCTTTTCAATAAGCAAAAGTTCACAAATCTCTGAGTATATTAAAGTGAAATTTTTACCTAACTTTCCAATGTGAAAATTTTTTAAATACACAGAACCAGCAAACTCCTTGACTTTCAGGAATGGTTCCAAACAAAGAAAATGCATTATGGGGTAAACTCAGGAAGTATTCTCTTATGGAAACTAGTAATAGCTCGTGTCCTGTATTCCCAGTATCTCTTCACTACCATGGAAGACTTAGTAATGGAGCTGTGTGAACTTTATTTTTTAGAGAAAGGGAATTAGGTCAAAGGTGAAACATATCATCCCTGGAATTAGCTGAGAAAGAATTGGGAGAAGTCTAAGAAGAATCCAGTGGGACTTGGTTTCCACAGTTCTCATATTTAACCATGAAATTAAAATTAGGAGCAGGGCTAGATTTCATGGTCGTAAGCAGATTAGTTAGTGAGTTCCAAATAGTTCAGATATTCTTTCTATTGCTTTTAAAATTTCACTGTCTGAAGCACCCGAGAATAATGACCACTGAATAAACCCTCTCATCTATTAAACAATGAGTAGAAAGAGTTCAGAGTTGATTCATAAAAAAGACAGGAAACATGGTGAGTGTAGGTAAGGATATTACAAAGTTTGCAAATGAAACCAAATCTCCAAAACATGATGACTTTGCTAAATTATTACTAATAACACAGAGAGAAAGCAACACAACCCCTTGTGAATTCTTTTTCATTCTCCCCTCCCCCATTCAGAGTCCATTCACCCGTTGCAGCCTCAAACAAGGTGGTAGAATTTTTAAAACAATAATTGAAAAGTTAGACTAAGATTTAGATGGTCAGGACACAAATACATAAAAAGCATGCTTATAATGTAATGTTTATTTAACTTGAAAAACAACATTTATTTTAAATTACTACATTTCAATGCACAAAAGGAATGGGTCACAGTAAAACAAAAGTAATTATTTCTCAGATTTTTTTTTTAATATTTCTAACTCTGTATGTATTTTCAGTATTTGATATCTGTTCTTTACCACCATAACCAACTAACTCAAAACAAACTTGGGTGGTTTGATCCAGACTGAACTATGGAGATGCAGACAGGAGCGAGATAAACTCAAAACAAGCAAACCAACATCAACACAGTAAAAATGTTTTTCTTGATATTTATATATCATATTTACAAAGGTAAAGCTAAACCAACTGGTCATTATGTACATATATTAGTAAATATTGGCACTTTACATTAACATATAAGTGTATTCATAATTATCAAGTAAAAAGATAAATTTTAAATTATTTTTATTTATGAAAAAATATATAATGTGATATACATACTTCAATTTGAGTGCTTGTTCAATACTGAGTGCTCAAAAAACTTTGGGGGAAAAAAAAATCCCATAATGTATTCTGATGGAAGACACTGAAAGTAAAGAGGTAAGGAAATCCTAAGTGTTAAATGTGATTTTAGTAAGTAGAGGATGTGAGCAGAAGATATACATTCAGATGTGGATCGCATAGCATAAACCAGAGTAAGACTCAGAAATGGAAGATGTGCAGTTTTTCCCAAGGTCAGTTTCACTCGAAAAGGAACAGAACAGAGGTACTTTCAGGATAAGGTAAACGAACTGGAATTTTGATAACAAGTTCATACTGTGAGCCGATCCAGAAGTGACTTCCGGCCAGAGGTTCATGTACAAACATGCCTTGGACATCTACTGTAGAGTTGTCACAACGTCAGTTCCTTATTTGGCTTCCTTTAAGAGGCAAGGGTGCTATGTGCCCTTTAAACGACCTCATAAAACTTCAGCCGGCATCTGTCATGACTCAAGAATCAGCGGGTGGGACCCTTGTTCCAAGTACGAGCTGGGCTGGAATTCTTGCACCTCGTGTTTTTTTTTCCCCCCTTTTTCTAAGGGCTCAGGTCCATAGTGATTAGCGCAACTCACCCCAGGGCAGATGGCCTCAAAATCTACCCCCAGAGCGCTTAACTGTCCATCCCGCTCAGGGATGGGAGTGTGGTGGTCCCGGGCCACTTGCTAGTTGAGGCAGGGGCAGCAGAAACAGCAGATCGTCCGGCAGGGGTTCTTCTTCTTGTACTGCACAGCCTTGCGCACCTGCACCTTGGCCTGCCCGGTGTATTCGACGGTCTTCTGCACGTTGAGCTCGATGACGTCCAGGGTGTCCGCCTGCTGCTCCACGAGCAGGGCCATCTGCAGAAAGAGGTCGTGCAGGTCGCGGATGCGGCCCTCCAGCCGCAGCAGCTCGCGGTGGCGGCTCTCGATCTCGTTGAGGGCCGCCCGAGCGCCCTTCACGTCGGCCAGCAGGTTCTCGGAGAACACGTCCCACTTGCCCTGTTCGAACATGTCCTCGATCTGGTCGCCCGACACGTCCTTGCCCATGATCTCCAGCTGGCGCTGGATGCGGATCTTGCAGTTCTCGCGTTGCTTCATCTCGGCGCAGTTGTACTCGTGCATGGCGGCCTGGAAGGTGCGGGCGAGCGCGCTGTACTGCGCACGCGTGATGCGCGCCACGGCCGAGTGCGCGCCGTGCTGGACTTCCGCCTGCTCGCTCAGCGTCTTCATGGCGCCCAGCTTGCGGTTAATGCTCTCGCCCCGGGCCTTGATGTCCTTGCCGATCGAGTTGGTGTCCCGCTTGATGCTGCTGAGGCGCCGCATGGACGTGAGGAAGCGGGTGTTCTGCTTTCCCAGGCGCCTCACGTCGGCAATCAGCTGCTGGTTTTCCTCCTGAAGGTCTTGGATGTCTCGGTACAATGATTCCAGGATGTGGTCCGTCTCGAACACAATGTCCTCATGAGGCGAGTCAAAATCATCGTCGTCGTCCGGGAACTGCTGGTCATACTGCTTGGTTAACTCCACGAGTTCTCCTAGTCGGTCCTTCATTTTGCCTGCAAATAGAAACATGGAGGTTCAGCTCCTCTAGCGAGACTCAGAATATTTGCATTGAGAGAATTAGACATTAAAATAGAGAAACATTCTGCTCACTGCTCATCACTCTCAATTCTTTACTCCCGAGTGTAGGTAACAAAATGCACTACAGGAGCTAAATGGTTCACGACATTTGGCTTATGAGTGAAGGACTGATGTGATTGGGAGTCAGGACACCTTTGTGTTTTATAGCTTGCAGTTCTTCTGCAACATTGTTCTTTACGGCATGGGACTTTACTTTCACCACCAGACACACCCACAGCTGAGGGTCCTTCTCGCTTTGGCCCAGCCACTTCATTCTTCCTTGTTTTAGCCCCTAAGTCATTGCCTGCCAGGCTTCTCTGTCCATGGGATTTCCCAGGCAAGAATACTGGAGTGGGTTGCCATCTCCTCCTCCAGGGGATCCTGCCCACACAGGGAGATATGAACCGGCATCTCCTGCATTGGCAGGTGGATTCTTTACCACTGAGACACTAGGGAAGCCCTAGCTATATGCATGCATGCTTGCCCGCGTGCGTGCTAACTCACTTGAATCGTGTGGGACTCTGCGAATCTATGGACTGTGGCCCACCAGGTTCCTCTGTCCATGGGTTTCTCCAGGCAAGAATACTGGAGTGGGTTGCCATGCCCTTCTCCAGGCGATCTTCCCAACCCATGGATTGATCCCACATCTCTTATGTCTCCTGCATTGGCAGGTGGGTTCTTTACCACTAGTGCCACCTGAGATGCCCTTAGCAAAGATAAAGATTGTTAAATAAGTAAAATACATACTTAAAAAAAATACATTGACACATTAATGACGAATTTCTGCCTTGATTTTCAGATTTTTTTGGATCTTTTTCTGCATTTTATTTATTTTTAAAATTTATTTTTAAAATTTATTTTTTAAGAATAATTGCTGCATTTTACTATTTACTGTTGAGACATCTAACAGTTTTTATTTACACTATTTATTGTTATCTCTTGATTTAAACCTATAGCATATGTAGTATCCATCACCTGAAAATGTTGCTTTACATATCAAAGTTCAACCACTCAGATAGCCTCAGTCTACTTGCAGAACAATAAAGGCCAATAAGAAGCAAAAAGAAAAAGAAAAAGATTGTTAAATAAGGATAGTCAATTTATAGGCTTTGAGTCCAACTCTAAGTGTTGTCTATTCTGTGTCTATTTCAGCACTGGTGAGCATCTTCAGTCTTGTACATCATAACGGTTTTTTAATGATATAAATCGTGGTTTAATTTTTTATCTTAAAAACATAAAAATTGAACCTGCTTAAAGTAAAACAACAAAATGAACAAAGATGAAAATCTAATAAGGAAGTAAAAAATTGGAAAGTGAAAATTTCCTTGCTCTTATGCCCATATGACCAATACATACTTTAAATTGAATGTTTGAGACTCAGTGCTTAAAAATATTTTGGGGGAAAATCCCAAAATACAAGCTAATGAATGATACTGAGTAAAAGAGATCAGGAAATAGTTAAGTGTGGCTCAGCTGGTAAAGAATCCGCCTGCAATTTGGGAGACCTGGGTTCGATCCCTGGGTTGAGAAGATCCTCTGGAGAAGGGAAAGGGTACCCACTCCAGTATTCTGGCCTGGAGAGTTCCATGGACTGTCCACGTCCATGTCCATGAGTGGCAAAGAGTCGGACATGACTGAGCGACTTTCACTGACTGACTGATGTGATTTTAATAAGTAGGACAGGTGAGCAGAAAGATGTTTATGCAGGAATCACATGGCAAAAGCCAGGGGAAGAATCAGAAGCAAAAGACATTCAATTTTTCCCAATATCTCTAGTGGTAAATGTTAACAAAACTGCTTTTTTAAAAAAGCTTTATATGGAAAATTTCGATCGTACACAAGCCTACTAGAAATAATATAACACACTCCCATATACCCATCACACAGCAGCAATATTTGCCCATTTTTAATAGCTTGTTGAAATAAGTTGGCAGCTCAAGCAGAATTTCCATGCTTTTATAAGGGTGGTTCTGATCAATTCCCTCCTTAGCAAGGCAAAATAATGTTCTCTGTGTCCATATTTTTTCCAATGAAGTTAAAAACTTTCATTTTTAATACTGTGTATATGCCAAAATAATGAACATTTTGCCATTTTATACAAGATTTTGTGGCTAGAAAGATTTTTTTCTATTTATATAATTTGCAGGAAACGGGGGAAATAGTCACATTTAATGGCTACTCAGTCTATTAGGGATCTTGATCTCAAATTAAAAGCCTCCCTCAAGTTAAGTAATTAATTTCACAACACCACTAATGGAATGCTGACAACTTGGGTTCAGTGATAAATGGAAAATGGTGAAATATTAACCATGGATTCCCATCTGCCATGACCATTAGTTACATAAATTAAGCAAAGTTTTATTCCATAGTGGTGATTTTTAATACAACAAGTTATCCTGCTTAAAATGCCCTTTCTGCTTTCTGATGACAAAGATCAATACCAGACCTTCTCACTGAGGAGAAAGTGACTCCAGGAAGCACAGTTGAGAGGAAGAAAAAAGAACCAGGCTGGACCAAAACTATGCCTTCCCTGGCCTGAATTGCCTGATACCTAAATATTTCCTCATTCTGAATAAAATTTAAAGATAAAGCACAAGTTGGTGGGGGTGAGGGGATTGCAATATATAGTAGATAATGAGTTAACATACTGTATTAAAAACTCTTGCCCCTCCAAACCAAAAAAAACAGAAAAACCACTTGCCCTAGCAAAGACAATGAAAAGGCAATTCATATAAGAAGAAATAGAAGTGCCAGAGAACATGGAGATAGTTAGTAGGTATCAGGTGCTTACTGTAATTCCAGGAAGCATGTTCTAAGCACTTCTCATGTGATACTGTCTTTAATCTTCATACGGACTCCATGAAGTAGGTACTGTCATTATCAGAGTTGGTCAGTGAGTTTAGGGAGATGAAGGAACATACCCAAGGTCACCAGTAAGTGACTAGTCTAGCTCTAGAGTGGCCCTGCTTAATCACTACCTTCAAGTATTTCCAGCAGGTGTAAAAAAGTGAGGCATGAGGGACTTCACTATCAAAACAAGGAAATGCAAGTTAAGCCACTGAAATTTTTTTTTTTTTGGTCATCAAGCTGGCAGGAATTTTTAAAAATAATAATTTAGGGACTTCCCTGGCAGTCCAGTGGTTGAGATCTGAACTCCCAGTGTAGGGGGCTTGGGTTCAATCTTTGGTTGGAGAACTAAGATCCTGCATGCCACAGGCTGTGGCCAAAATAATAATAATAATTTAAAAGAGAATTCTGGGAACTCTGAAAAAAATGCTTGTAGGAGGGCAAATGGATAAAAACCCTTGTAGGAGGGCAGTTGAATAATATGTATTAAAAGCTTTTAAAATGTGTATCTGTTTTAGGTACATTTATTCTAAGCATATATTCAGAGTTATGTGAAGCTCATCGTTGTAAATATTTTCATCACCACAGTTTTCACAGGAATTCAAAAATAATTTAAAGGTGCAAGAATGAGAAAGTGATGGCTACATAATCACAGAATTTAGAAGGCTATCTAATGGGATGAAAAGCATAAATATCATTTTAGGTAGAAAAAAATCTGTGAAGGGAACAGAATGAGCAGTGCTGTCATGCAAATATCTTGAAATAAAGACTTGAATAATACACATCAAAATGTAGTTTTCTTCAAATTGTGGGATAATTTATCACTTTAATTACTTCCTTGTGCTTTTCTCTATTTTTCAACATTTTTATAATGTCCTGTAGATTTATCAATTAGACAAAACCCCACAAAACCGTAAGTATTTGTTTAAAAGGCTAACTCCTTTGAGATGTATGCATTACAATCAGGTTACCACCATATGTGACATGAGGAAAGTACATGAGTTGGCTAGTATGGAGTTGAGCTTTATTTATATGCTTAAGTTAGCAGCCAACATATGCTACTCTGCAAGTGTAGAATTAATAATTTTTGAAGATATAGATAGAATAAAATATAAATAAACTTTATTTTTTTAATGTAAATAGAACAGAGAATGAAAAATTTTTGAAGGACAAGACAAGAAATGGTGATGGATGCAAGGAAGGCTTTGGGAAGCACTACCACAGAAGGTAAGGGGGAAAAAAAATTGGAAAAAAAAAAAAAAGAAGGTAAGGGGGTAGTTAAAGGGGAACATCATGCACCAGAACGTTAGGGACCTGCTTGATGGTCTCTACTAGTCTAGACAGGTCCCAAGCCCGCTCCTGCTCTCCTGGGGCCCTGAAAAAGCTATTCAAGGGAATCATTTCACTCACAATAGGATGAGCAAAGTGCACTGCAATTATATAGAAAGTGGCCTTCAAAGAAGGTGTTCAGAGACAGTCATTCCTTCCCAATACCTACCAACGTGAAGCCATGGGTCCTAAATGAGATGAAGGTCTAAGTTCACTTGAAGGCTCAGGTCTACAAACCAGTCAGGACAGAGGCAGGATGTGGGAGCTCCAGATTCTCTAGGAGGTGTACACACGGAAGTGGCCTTCACTGCCTTCCTGTCCACCTTTTTTGGCCCAGCTCAGCCCCAAATGAGCTGGTCCCACTGATCTAGAAGGTTTCCTGGTTGCCAAGGTGCAAACATTGGGAAAATTACAACAGAAAGTCAACCAAGAGGCTACTACTTCTAACAATGTTCCCTAAACAGTTTAAATGTACTCCTTACTGTAGTTATACCAAAATACAGAAGTAGGCACAGCAAGAAAATCAATATAAGCCATATACCCAATAGCTTGGTTCTCTACTGTGACAGCTGAAAAAGGGAACCATAGTAAATGAGAAAGAAAAGTCAAACAATTCTATTGACCCTCCTGTCTCATTATGATAAAGGATAATGTAATAAACTTTGGTACACTATTCATAAAATTGTTCAAATCAGTTCAATTCAGTTTAGTTGCTCAGTCATGTCTGACTCTGTGACCCCATGGACTGCAGCACACCAGG